AAAGTAACTAAAGTTACTATAAATGTAGTGGAGTAAAAGTACACTATTTACCTCTGAATTGTAATGTAGTAGATGTACAAAGTAGCATAAAATGAAAATACTCAAGTAAAGTACAAGTATCTAAAAGTTGTACTTAAGTACAGTACTTTAGTAAATGTACTCAGTTACTACTACCTCTGCCAAAAAGCCATTGAGTTGGAAATCATCAGATTGGTAGAAGGGCCAAAGGTCATGGCCACATCACTAGGTGTATTAATTAAATCAAATTATAAACAATCTACATTTACAGAACACCTACAACGCAAGATAAGGTTTATTTTAGCTCCAAAATGTTGTTGTTTCATACAGATTTATGGCCATAGCTGGGCCTCAAGTGTGCTCAAATGTGGTGGGAAAATTAAAGGAGATATGACATTTTATTTAAAGGTCCCATGTCATGGCCATTTCTACTGATCATAATTCCATTGTTGAGGTCTACTAGAATTGATTTACATTGTTCAATGTTCCAAACTCACATTGGTTTCTCATACAGCATCTCTGTATAGTATGTGTATTCACTCTCTGTCCTAAACAGCTTGTTGGAGCTCCTGCCCCCCCCCCCTCCCTATGAGCCCACTGTGCTCTGATGTGTGTTTATGTGTTACAATGGCGTTTGTTAGCAACCAGAAAATGACACCAGTAATGACAAACAGATGAGAATGCTGCGTGGGGTCTGAGTGCTGAGTGCTGTGTTGGCGGGACGTTGCGGGGCTCGCTGCTCCGCCCTTTGAGGCTCGAGGAGCGGACAGTATGAGCTGGATTACTGGTGTTGTTTCCTGGTGGCTGCGTGGGGTCTGCAAGACAACGAGACACTACGGAACTCAGCCTGAGCACACACACACACTCACAGCCATAGGCGGCGCCAGGGAGTCGCTAGGGGGTGCTGCAGCTCCCCCTAGGATAGCCATAGCACACCCTAAGCACCCCCAAGAAATGTATGTGTCTTCTTTTTTTTTTTATGTGTGAAATTCAGAATTTGAAAAATTATTGAATCGAAAATAATATGCTACAGTACAGTACAAGTACTTCTGGGTCTCTGTGTTTCATTCAAGCTCTGCTCTGTGTTTGTGTGGCACGAGCCATTTTGTGTGCGTGCGCAAGCGAGCGAGAGAGAGAGAGCGCGCACCGGTACCGGAGATCATTGTGCTTAGCATCTGGTGCTAGCTGCTCTAACAGATATAAGAAGGAGATGTTTCTACAATAATGTGGAGGAGAGCTCTCCTGTCAGACTGAGAGGCTCAGTGAGGTAAATGACTCTGAGTGTTTAGATCAGGGGTCGGCAACCCCTGGCACGCGTGCCACCATTGGCATGCGGCACCGTAACCAGTGGCACACTAGGAATAAGTGGAATAAGTGTGCAAAATATTTAAATGTTATTTTCGGATCCTGAACGAGACCGCCGCCAGAGCGCGTCTCCCCGTTACCTGCAGAAGGAAGCCATGCACGCAGCGCAGCCCCGCTCTCTTTAACTCCAGGCGACTTTCTGCCGCTTTCCTCCGTAATGCAGTGCTGATAGTTTCACCACAGAGGAAAGCACTTCGCAAATTGCAGTACCCATAAGGAGCTGTAAAAATACCGCAGTTTTTGCGTGACGTAAAATACATGACACTTTTCTCTGTGTGCGGCAAAACAAGCTCGCCAAAATGGCTTCACCAGTCTGGCAGTATTTTAAGGTGTTCGAAAATGACAATAAAATAGCGGTGCAACGTGTGTGAAGCAGAAATCCTGCAGCTCCACCCGCTGTGACGGACCGGTGAGCGGAGCAAAACACACACTAGAGTTAGACCTAACACACTTAGCTATTCGATCTACCTCTGGAACTAGTTATAAATATTCTTCACTGTCGGGTCACTCATTACTGGATCAGTGAGCTGCATGAGATACTGACAGGCTGTCAGGAGAGAGAGAGAGGGGGAGAGAGGAAAAGAGAGCGCTTCAGCTCATTTCTCCCGTGTTATTATCCAAAGTTAATGTAAACTTGAATAATGTACTTCATTTGAATGTAATAATTATGTTGGTTGTTGTTTGTGGAAGCGCCAGTGAATGAGCCCCATTAACTGAGTATTAAACATTTCTTTAAATGGAAGATCCCCATAGGACCCGCCCACTCGATCGGATCGGCGATCGGAGCATCCCTAATGTAAGTTGCACTGACAGGTCCACACACTGCTTCCCCGCAGCGAGGCTCCCCCGCCCTCCTGTTGACAGTTCACGAGCGTCGAGCTCTTCACCCCCACACCCCCCCCCCCCCCCCCCCCCCCCCCCCCCCCCCCTTGATAATTCACGATCGTCGGCACGCTGATTTTTTTGAATGGCACTTCATATCAAAAAGGTTGCCGACCCCTGGTTTAGGTTAACTTTAGTCTAAGTTATCTCAGTGGGTCTCAAACGGTTTGATCACAATTTATGTAAACACATATCTCCAAGGCACACCTTTATAATTATTGGGATAAACAGGTTTGAAATAATTTCAATGTATACTATAGGACAGTAAACCAAAAATATCGTTTAAAACTGGAGAGATAAAAAAAATATGCATGAATAAATAAATGTTAACTAGGTAAAATAAGATATGAATGAACAACAGAAATAAAATAAGTTACATTTATGTGTTATTGGCTATGGTAGGTTATTGGTTATGTTCACATACTTGTTTGATTATTAAAATGTAAACCGATCTTTTTCATATGGGTGTTTAGAGTTGTACCCCCTAGATCTAGTCTCTAGTAATGTGTGCTCAAAGTGCACCAAATTGAAGCATTTTACTTTAACCTGTTAAGCACCAAGCCTGTTTTTCATGTTTCAGGCTCGAAAATGACATGCCCAAAACAAATGACTACAACCTAACTTCTAAAAGGGTTATATGAATAATTTCTTTTATCAAAGCAAGTTTACATCTGTGAGTTGGACGTAGAAGTGTCAGAATCAATATAGATGTTTTTTATTTTAAAGAAAATTCAGATTTTACATCGTAAAAAACTGTAAATTATAGTGTCCGTCCAAAGATTATTTTACAGATAGTGAAAACTACCCTTGGATGATGGGTTAGTAGACTAAAAGCTTTAGGAATCCAAAGTACAACATATAATAAGTACCCTGTATCAAGATTGATGCAAAAAAAGTGACATTTGACCTTTTTAGAGAGGTTTAGCCAAAACCACCCCACCTCTGAGGTGATTTGGGTGAAAATGTTTTTTTTTCCATATCTCTGGCCCCCCTTGCTCGATTTTGATGGTTGACACCTCTTTCTGACCGTTAGAGCCAATAGAATCGAAGGGGGAGGCTCCCACACACAGACGTTGTGAAGACAAAAGGTGGGGGCTGCGCGCATGTAAATTTAGGGCAGAGTGGAGCTGCATTCTAGCTCTGGCATTTGGAAACAAAAAAGCAGTTTTATTGCTTATGGATTATCAGAAATAATTTCAAAGAGGGCACAGATACATTGGATGAACCTATGGATTAACTGCAGCATCGTTTTTTTATCGTTTTAATGCCATTGAAGACCAGTTTTGACCAAGGTAAGCCATGTTAGCGTTTCTAGCTACTTAGCTCCACATGTTATGATGTACGCTTTCGTTTATAGCGTCGCAAATGTTTATCACTGAGTGTTGAGGTTTTTTACACAGATTCAGTGTCTCCAGGACACCAAAAACGAGTGGTTGGCTGTGCATCTAGGATAAGTAATAAGGGAGTTATTGTGAGTTTAAGTGCCGTTTTAGGTTAAATGTTTTCGCTCGTGGCTAATTCAGAGGCTGAGTGCTAGCATTGTGGGTTTTTTTTTGATTTTTTTTTAAAAAAGATCAGTTAGCTGAGTTTCTTCCCGTTACATGGATATAAAACATTCATAGTTTATTAAATATTAAGATTCCTTAGACGTTGTTTCCTGCAAATGACGCGTTTATCCGCCCGGTACTGGGGGGGCCGTGCATAACAGGTTAAAATGTTCAAACATTTCTTCCCGGGGGGGCATACCCCTGGACCCCCCTAGAGGATGTGACCTCCATCCCCCATTCTATTGTGTATTCCTTGGATACTCTATTGATCTTTACCTTTTTCTATTGTACAATTCTCTGGCTGGGGGGGCGCCAGCTAAAATCTCGCCTAGGGCAGCACATTTTCTAGAGCCGGCCCTGCTCTCAGTATTTAGATAGTTAACTGTAGTCTAAGTTATTTCAGTGGGTCTGAAACGGTTTGGTCACGATTAATGTAAATAAGTATTTCCGAGGCACACGTTTATATGATCATTATAGGTATAAAAAAATAAGAGAATAAATGAAAAACAGGTATGAAATACTATATGACAGTAAAACAAGAATACATTTTGAAAGGGGAGTGATTTGTAAAATATCCATAAAGAAATAGAAAATCGGTTTACAGTTATGTTTCATATGGGTGTTGAGAGGTATCCATAGATCTCTTAATTTTGCTCTCAAAGTGCACCAGATTGTCATATCTCCTTTTATGTGCCATTGCAAATGTAAAAATATGTCTGAGTGACCAAGGCAGATGTTGTGCCACTGGGCCAATAAGTGACTACAAAGACCAAACATATATTGTAGAGTGATATCAGGCAAATATTTGAGGGTTGGGGAGGTATGTTGTCTATTTTGGCAAGCAGAGATTTTATTTGAACAGAATTTCAATCTGGTGTGGCCAAGTATGGTGATGGCTTCATGCTCAGAAATAACTATCGGATTTCGAACAATTATTAAACAGTGTATTTTTCAATCTTAAAACATGGTCCAAAACAGCAATTTAACACACTAATAAACATCACACGTGTCACACAAGTTTATGTTTGGTTAAAAATCGGTGAAAATTGTAATGTTCGTTTGGCATGATCAAATTGTTGCTCATGCGGCTTTGTGAAGAGGCAAACTTTTCAAGGAGTGCCTGAAGGCAGCATTGCCTAGCAACAGTGTGGTTTAGTTACTCGCCTCTCACAAACTTTCTCCGACACCATGCCAAAAAAGAAGGAAAAGAAAAGTGTCGAGAAACAAAATGATGTCCAGAAAACGCAGAAAAAAGACAGTCCTGCTGCTGCTGAAGGCACAGAGAATTATTTATATCTGACTCAAAAACGATATCTGAACGAGCAGCTGCAAAGGTGAGATTTATATATATATATATATATATATATATATATAGGCTATAGGCTATATATAAAATGTTATATATAAATGTTACGAAACCAAATTACTTTGAGTTAACTTACTTTATTGGGAATACTTTGGTAAAATGTTTGTGTGAGTACATTTTTTATATAACTTATTTAGTCCAGTAAAAGCAGGGCTGCCAACCTTTGAGTTCAGCTTAGAGTGAGATTTCTTTTTTGGTGAACCGAAAAAAGAAACGTTCATGTGTACAGTGTTAAAAATGTATTGAACAGTACAAACTAGGGTTTCCCATTAATGTACCGGGCGCTACAGTGGAATACGCACATACACAGTGTACCCGCGACCTAGGTTGCGGTCGAATAGTCCAAAAATCAGCTCCTAAATTCTAACCCTATCGTCTATTCCTTGACCTCTGAGTGAAACGTCACGGGGTTAAGGGATAGTGGATAGGAGAATTCAAAAGGATTTAGGAGAAGAGACTGCGGTACTTTAGAGAATCCGACTGCACTTTCACTATCCGACGTGTTTATCCAGCCGAGGTCATAAATGTGCGTCTGCTGCTGTGGGGAAACTATGGAAACTACAGTTTTCTATACAGCGGACTGCAACATGGATGTTTAATAAGAACGAGGGACTACTGTAAACTCATCTAGAGACTCTGCACCGTGCTCTGATGCTGTTGTTTAATGCTTTATGAACGGGGACAACAGAGAAACATATTCTTCATGACCAAAGTTGGAATTGAAATAAAAAAGGAAATTGAAACTTATGCTCGTCACCCTCTCCCTCCGGTCCACATTAATACAAATGATCCCAATAGCCTACGTATGATTGTATGAAAATATCTTAAAATCAATACAAATGTATTTATTATAAACGTTAGTCCTTAACATCTATCACTGTGTATATCACCATTCAAACATCTTTTAAAAGTTGAACAAACCCCACACAGCTCAGTAAAGACTGTGAAATGTTGACTTTATTTGATCATTTCAGTAAAAACTAACGTTCATATTTCTCTTTTTGATTATAATACTGATGAACGTTCCAAACAAAGCACTTTGGCAACTTACCACATACGTTTTAAAAAGCTTAATAAGCACCGTAACTTTCATGATATCATTTCTCGTTCATAATCGGTTGTTTCCGTGAATGGCCGACTGTTGTGTGACGGTAAATGCCGCGGCCGCAAGGCATTGTGGGGCAGCATTTTCTCCTCTCCTTTAGGTTAGGGAGGTCCAGTGGTTCCTAAGCTAAAGGAGATTATAAAGGAAGTTTGAAACCTCCTTTCCTTTCATTTAGAGAATTCGAACAGCACTTATCATGGCTGCCACTGAGGGACTTCCGGGTCATTTCACTCCGTTAGGAAGGTTCCTAAGCTAAATGGACTATTCGACCGCAACCCTAGATTCCACCGGGTCCGCCTGCGCCGCGTTACGGCTGTGCCGCGGTTTTGGTCCGGCCTCCTCCAGCGTCATACCCTACCAGGCGCGTTTCAGAAGCATTTCAGAAGCGGAGCGTCTTGCCTGCCGGCTCGCAGTTTTTGTTGATTTGGGCATATTTCCTGGACAGGCTACTTTGTACAGACAAAGTTAATAATAACTGTAATATTCCAGTTATAAACGACATGAATCAAAGATGTGTTGCTGTATTTTAGTGGTAAAAAAATGCATTCATCATCATAATTATTCTATATATATAATTTACACAGTGCCTGTAAACCGGAGGAGAACGCTGGCATTTCTCCTCCTACTTGAAAGACTACGGAGGGATAGGGTCTGCAAAATTAGTTTGTGTGTGTGTATATATATATATATAGGGTTGGGAGGGTTACTTTGTAAATGTAATCAGATACTGATTACTGATTACATGGCTCTGAAAGTAATCCGAATACAGTTACAGTTACGTGTCTTAAAAAAGTAACGTAATCAGATTACTTTTAGATTACTTTTGGATTACTTTATTTTTCCATCACAGATGGGTATGTTTTGGTGAACAGGAGACACAAAAAGCAAAAGGAAACTGAACGTGTTTTTACTGTTTTAATGGCTTATCAAGAGCACAACTGAAACATAACATCTGAAACGATGTAACAACATAATACACTTTTTGGGGATGTAGCTTGGGATGTGAGGAGTGAGGGACACGGCTTAGAACGGGCGTGTCGCCTTCTGTCCTGCCAGTGTTGGCAGGACATGAATTAAAATGTCGAACTCGGACTTCATTTTAAGGACATTTCGGCCAGGGGTGTAGAGCTATATTTGTTTAAGCACCGGATTGGCAAAACAGGAGAGTGTGTGCACCAGTCTGCCTTGATCTATGAATTCATGTCCGTGACTCTCGCAGTATCTGCTGCCCACAGCTGTTTTATAGAAGGAAAACCTCCTTCACTTCATGAAATCTCTGCAGCACCAGGAGGCAGCGGGAGGGTTAACTCAGCCTCTGAGAAGAGGAGCCTTCACGCACCGCCTTCACTGTGTTTACCTTCAGAATCATTAGAAAGGATAAAGAGCGACCGCAGGCTGATGTGTTTTAACCACACACACCTCTACACACACACACACACACACACACACACACACACACACACACACACACACACACACCACACACACACACACACACACACACACACACACCACACACACACACACACACACACACACCCACACACACACACCACACACACACACACACACACACACACACACACCTCTACACACCCCACACACACACACACACACACACACACACACACACACACACACACACACCTCTACACACCCACCCACACACACACACACACACACACACACACACACACACACACACCCACACACACACACACACACCTCTACACACCCACACACACACACACACACACACACACACACACACACACACACACACACACACACACACACACACACACACACACATGATTTAAACGCAGACTTTTGTTCCTCCATGTTTCATTGTTATTGTATCACTGAGCGGACCCGCACATTTTTTTCAAACGCTCCCTTTTTTGGTCCATCTGCGGCGGTAATAGGTTTTGTGCGCTGTGATGATTCGGCTGTACCTTTAGTAATGAATATTAAATGTTGTGAGGAAATCTTTCCACCAATAATTCCAATAAGTAATCCAAAATGTATTCACTTCAGGTTTACGAAAGTAACTGTAATCAGATTACTCGTTTTTCAAATGTAACGCGAGCTGAATACAGTTACTTGATTTTTGTATTCTGATTACGTAACGCTGTTACATGTATTCCGTTACAACCCAACCCTGTATATATATATATATATATATATATATATATATGCTCTAAACGTTCCACTTCCTGCCTGCCCGACATTACCTTACGGCTGCGTCGCGTCAAAAATAGGATTCATCCTAATTTTAGAGGAGCCCTGCGCCGAGACGCTTCTGGGACGCTTCAGAGACGCTTCTGAGCCGTAACGCGCCGCGTGTGGTGGAATAGCACCCATTGACTAGAGTGGCCGCGATCTTTGCGAACGCCGCGGCGCAGCCGTAACGCAGCCGTAACGCGACCGTAACGCAGCCGTAACGCGACGCAGACGGACCCGGTGGAAATTAGGGGTTACAATGAAGGCTCGATAAACAGCTCACAGCATATAAAATGGCATATAGGTCGTAAACTAGGGCTGTCCCGAATACCATTTTTCGGGCTCCGGATAGTCGGTAGTAATCAGCAGCGAATATTCGGATATTTGGCCCGCGCGGGGGGTGGGGGGCGTAGTCAGCAGCGAACCGCTTCAACACGTGTATTTCGGTTTATTCACGGCATTCATTTAGTTATTCTACAGTATTGTTGTTTTATAGTTATATGTTAATGTATACAACCCAATTTGTGTTCTTTGAAATTGAAAAGGATATTGCATTGTGTTTGTTACTTTCGTTGCAGTTGTATATGTCTTAAGTGTAATTTGGCTTGGCTTCCTATTTTTTATGGACATGCTTTTATTTTCGAAGGAGAGTTAGCGCTGTTGACAGGAATTTGTTGTTGCTATGGAAACAACGTGATGGAGATTAACGGAGAAAAGTCATATCTACATATAAAGACGGAGAAAGTAAACGATAACGTTTATGGTTAAGTGTTAGCACCCCCCGAAGAGGCACAAGCTCTTACGTTGATATTGGAGATTTCAATCAATTCAATCAAAAACGAAAAACAAAAAAACGAATATCCGAATAACGAAATTGAAACCCGAATAGTACTCCAACGAACGAATATTCGGATATTCGTGTAAGCAGAGGTAAAGATATATTTTATGGGGGGGGGGACCTCACCTCCTCTAGGGGGGTCCGGGGGCATGCTCCCCCAGGAAGATTTTTATTAAATTATTGAAGTTAAATTCATCAATCTGGTGAACTTTGAGAGCAAAATTAAGAAATCTATGGATACATCTCTCAACATCCATATGAAACAGAACTGTACACAGATTTTATTTTTCTTTATGGATATTTTACAAATCTCTCCCCTTTTAAACTGTATTCTTGTTTTACTGTCATATAGTATTTCATAACTGTTTTTCATTTATTCTCATAAATGGTGACCAAACCGTTTGAGACCCACTGAGATAACTACTAGACTAAAGTTAACTATCTAAACACTCAGAGAGTCCGTTACCTCACTGAGCTGTGGTTATCTCTCTCAGTCTGACAGGAGAGGACCAGTAGTGTAGGCAGAAATGTACTTTAGGGCGGGCCTGTATAAAATAGGGTGGGCCAGCTTTTTCCAGGGGGAAAAATAACTTTAAAGTAGGCCTGGCCTATAATAATAATATATAATAATGCCCATTGCCAAGCATCGTTGTAGCATTTCCCTCAGAATAATGGTCGAAGACCTGACTGATGATATGAATTCATTGAAATCTCCAATATCAACGTAAGAGCTATAAAGACACAAAAATAACAAATACATTTAGGCTCCATCCGTATTAGAATCACTTTAGCATACTACCAA